TTCTCTGTCACTTAAAGAGTCAGACTGAACGAACTGAAGGGAAAACATTTAAATATGATGTATTTTAATACGACAGACAGGCCAGCAGCTCTGGAAAGTAATTTTCCTGCAGCCTGATGTAGTAAAATTGATTTAAAAAGCTTTCTGCCTGAGGAGCTTTCTGCTCCAGAACACCACAGAGAAATAGGCTTTTGTTTCTGAGCCCATTTATTTATTATTTACAACCCAGTTCTCATGAAAAGTCTAAGGATTTAAGCAGTTTGGATGTAAAATTTTTATTTTTTTAAACTCTATTCTGCCTGAAATGATGTTTGTTTCATTATTATTTCTCTTATAAACCAGAACTGGATATTCTGGGTTTCTTTATGTTTAATAAACCCTGGAGGAGCAGAAACATTTTACTGTCTAGACAGATCAACCTCCATGATAAAAAGACAATTTCCAACAAGTTTGGAGCTTTCCTGCCTCTCTGTATCCTCCCAGTAAACGGGTCTCGCCCAGTGGATTACAGGGGCGAATCGTGTAATTAAACATGCTAATGACACGGTCCAGCTGGCAGATATTACAGCTGTCTGATGCCATGTCTGCTTCTCACTTCATGACTTCTTCTCTTCTTCTGTTGTGGAAAAAAAATTATAATTTTTAATCAACTTTCTGCTGCAGTTCCACAGTCCAGCAGATTTTATTCTTTGTTCTGGCATAAAACAATTTGAACCCTGTTTTATTCTCAAAAAAGTAAATTTCTTTGTAATTAATTGTTAATATATTAGTTAGATCCACTTCAGAGAAGATGACGAAACTCTGAAGACGTAGAAATAAAGCTGAAATATTTTAAAAAGTGACAGTTTAAAGTAGAAAGACTGTGACAATTTAAAAATGTAAAAACAAAACAAAAATAAATAAATAAATTGCCTGGAAAGAAACTTCTGTATTATTATACCACTATATACATCTTAACACAATATGTAAGTCAAATCATTTAAAAATTATACATACTACAACCATAAATAACTAAAAAATCTGAATAAATGAAAAATACATTTAGTCAAAATTGTATTATATGAATAGTAAAAATAGATCAGTGATCTGTAATTAAATAGCAAACTAAAGTTATAAACAAAAAATAAAATATGAGTAGCCTAATCTAAATAAAGAAAAAACTGATAAAAAAACAACTAAAAATAATAATACAAAACAAATACAGTAAGATAAAATAATAAATAGTTGATTAAAACCAAATCAAACTAAAATGAAAATAAATAAGAAATAAAGCTGCAACATAAAGCAACCAGAGCTTCACTGGAAGGTTTAGGTCAAAATATGTTCATGTGTTAGAATGGCCTAGTCAAAGTCCAGAACTAACCTTGGTAAATTACTTTGTTTGTCTTGTAATCTAGTCCTGAAAGCCATGTGTTCTTTAACTTCACTGCAGAAATTCACTCTACTTGGTGTCGTAACGTGGAAACCGACCAGAAAACCCCTGAGGTCCACTCAAAGTCCACCAGCTCCGGCTTCCCTCAGCCGACACAAACCATATTATTTCAGAACTACATTGTCAGATGAGTAACTATAGACATGTAAACAACATGTCTCTGCTCTGCGGTCAGAAACATGACCAGAGTAATTACACGACTGGAGACAGAAAGGTAAATCTGGTACCAAAACATCGACTTCTGTCTGCACAACCTGACATCTCTGAGCTATATCAGGATCCCAGTCCTAAAATAAAACTGGAAAACATTTCCAATAAACCCATTTAATTATTATACTCAGGGGTGAAAGTAGTTTTAAATTCTTGGGGGTAATATGATAAAAATAAAAAAATAAAATTTTATATATATATATATATATATATATATATATATATATATATATATATATATATATGATTTTCGCATTTCTGGAAAATTATTTTGAAATTCTTGAAAAGTAGTTTTAACTATATGAGGCATTTAGTTACATCTTTATTCCATTATCTGCATTAAATAAAAAAAATGCTACAGAATCTCTGCATTCAGATGTCTGCTGATGCTTATTTTACACATACAAGCTATATTAGAGGAATCACTTTACTGCCATCTATTGATCAGAGTCTGAACAACATCCAGTTGAGAATGTAAAGGATTAAAAATAAATACTGTGAGCAAAGTCTTTCCTTATTCTTTAAATGGTTGTAGATGAAGCCAGAAATAAAATTTTTGACAGGGGAAATGATTTTGCTAAAAGGCTGAGGGTGTAGCAGTAACCATGGCAACAAGATTCAGACCAAAATCTGAGCTTTTCTGCAACAAACACAATCAAAATATAATTCAACTGAATTCAAAATGACTTTATTTATCCTGAAGGAAAATAAAATGTTTCGTAATGATTGTTGATGCTATAACAGTCAGTATCAGAAGGAATCTGAAGAGACCTCTGACTGAAGCCTGTATTGACATGCTAACAGCTAAATGAGCTTTGGCACAGAGACAATACTCCACAGTAACATGTCCTGATGGCACCATCATTTGTTAGCTAGTTCTACTAATCCATCTCATTTGCTTTTGCTTTTCCTCTTTAAATCTTTATCTGGTCGTTTAGTTAGAAAGATGTTCGAGTTGGGGATAAGATGTCATAATGATGGATAGAGGAGATTATTAAGTCAAATTATAGGATTTATTTTAATATTTCTCAGCAAAGATGATGATGCAGCGGCAAGAAAATCTTTATTTAACGATGTAATTAATCTACTAATGAATTTGGATCGCATTTATTTTTTCCACCAGCTCCAGCTTTTTGTTTGATTATCCAATAAAAGGCCTGAAACAAAAAGGCCTTGTTATGCAGAATAAGTCCCTGAGCAGCAGCAACAACCTGAGTCATCACCGATTGTCCTCCAGCATCGACTCCTCTCCTGATCAAAGAAGTAAATTAGAAACACAGACGCTGAATTATTAAGATCGCAACTCAATTTGAGCCCAAAACGATTCAAGCGCCTCCATCAGACAGGAAGAATTTAACCTCTGGAGAGTTGGGTCTCCAGGAGAGGAGCGAATGTTTCATCCATGGAGGAGCCAGGATGCGGACAGGAAGTGGTGATAATCGTCTGAAGGTCTTCGGCGCTGCTTGAGGCGCGAGGAGCAGCAGATGAAGGTTTTTCTTTTCTTTTCTTCTCTTTCCTTTTCTTTTCTTTTCTTCTTCCAGAACAGAAAAGCTGCAGATGAAACCCAGTGACCCGCTTGTCCCCGAGCTTTTCATCTCAGCACCTGCTCTGCATTTTCAAAAGCTGCTTGAATTAATTAATGGAAGGAGGGAAATTATGTTTTCTCCCTCTGATCTGCACACAGGATGTGTTTCTGTTGTGTTTTTGTTATATTCAGGTGGTAAAAACAGTCTGAGCTACTGCTGCTGGATTATTAAAAAAATCCCTATAAATGTATGAAAGCAGAAAAAGCTCCAAGTATATTAAAGAGTTAAGATAAAAATGTTCCAGAAACCTTAAAGCTTGAACTTCTACAGCCTCCAGCTCCGTCAGATTGAATTGAAAGCATCTAGTTCAGGTCTGGACTTTGACTAGGCCATTTTAACACAAGGTCTTAACGATCCTTTGTGTCTTTGGGTGTATGTTTATACTTCAAAATAAAAATAAAACTGTGGGCGTTTTTCTCTTTCAAATATCTGAGGGACTTCTGCAGTTTTTGGCATTTTGAAATTGAATAAAAATTAAAATAAAAATCGAATTTCAGATGTTGCAGCTGCAAAGGAGAGTTAAAAAAAAATGACTGATTCTTTTGGAATCATCTTAATGTAGGATGGATGACAAATCATTTTGATCAAATAATCAAATTTTCTGTTTTTGAAGATTAAAATTTTTGGAAAATCTTTTTATTTTTCCACCAATGCACTTCTTGGGTTCTCCCCCTGCCCCCCCCGACTTTTAAACCAACTGACAGCAGGAATGATTGAAATCATTTTTTTAAGAAAAAACAAATTAAGATCATATTTGTTTTTGTTTTTTTTAATTAGGTCACATCACCCAGAAACTCTTCTCATTATGCTTGACTAACTTCTATTGTTGTCAACAATTTTATTGAGGGATCAGACCTGGACAATGAAACATCAGCAATACAAATTTGTCCTCATTTTTCTTATGTGAACATAAAACATAAGAAAGACAATACGAAAAACAAAACAGAAATGACATCAGCAAAAACACTCCCATGACCTACCCCCCTCCCTTTCCCTAGGACTTATATCTTATCACACCGAGGCTCAGATCAAATCCTCTATGCTTGACTAACTTCTAAACTACATTTCTCTGAAATGAGACAAAAGAAAAAACTTTCAGAAAGATGTTTCAAGTAAAAATGGACATTTAGAAGGTTAATCTAAAGAAATGAGGGGTTATTCTTGGATTAGATTACAAAATAAATCCAACAACAAAGTTAAATCCAGACAGAGTCGTTGTTTAGTTTCAAACTGTCTCCAGGAGACGAGCAGGAATGTGGAGGGTGAGTCATGAGAGGCGAAGGACGGCTGTGAAGGTGGCCCGTCCTCTGAGCCAGAATAATTATCTGCTTTAATTAAGTCCATCAAACTCTCTGCAAGTGTGTGTGTGTGTGTATGTGTGTGTGTGAAGGAGAGGGGATTATGCTGAGAAATGAAGGATTCATGAGCTGCAACATCTTCATCTCTGGGTGTTTTTGCTTGTGGGAAGTGGTTTTACGTGCAGAGACGTAAAAACCATCTGCATGGCGATGAACCCTGACAGAACGACAATAAGAGGAGGTTTCACTCTCATTGTTGCTAGTGATTGAAAAAGACACCTGGTGAGCAGAATAACAAGAGCTATTAGTCTGTGAGGAGAAGGAAACATGTGCAGTGATGCGACTCAGAAATACATTTGCTGGTGCAGCACAAAAAAAGGAAACATCTGAGCTTAAATTTGGACATAAGGTCAGAGGAAAATGCTATTTTATAACTTCAAATGAAACCTACAAGCTGCATGTTTTGATCTTGTGAACAGGAGATTAAGAGATTTCGGGGATTTTTTGGCAGGGATTTGGAAATATTTGCAACTAAATAATCCCTGGGTATTAGTTTTGCAATTGTTTGTCCTGCCACAGGAACAGCAAGAGCTTCAACACACACGGTTCACACATGAACTCGGTACATTCTCACTTTATTGATACTTTCTAAACAGTAATACTGAATTCTGATATGCTACCCATCACAAGTGGTAGATTTTCTCGTATAAATCTGTCAATACTCGCTTGGTTTTCAGTAAAAATATAGAAATTTCTCACTCATTTTCTCTTCTGATTGTGTAAATATCCCAAGCACTGTAGAAGTCACAGGAGAAACATCAACAAGACAAAAATATGAGCAGTTAATAAACAATAAGCACAGAAATCAGATGATTATTGATGCTGAAATTACATTCAGAAACGTATTACAGCAGAAACAGTTTCTCTAAATAAAACTGCAACAATAAACAACAAACGTTATTTGCTAATATAGGATTTTTAAAACGCCTACCATTTTGAATCCCTTTAACTAATATTTGACAATACAAGTTCATATGTAAAACTATTGTGGCCCTGATGGATTGAAATATTAATTAATGGAGTATTCAGTATGTCATTTACATTTACGTTTAGCAGGGGATGAACGTAAAAATTTACACAGTCTTTGCTAAAAAATTATCTATTTTTTAGCTAAAATTATCTCTTGATTATCAGAAACTTGAAACTAAAGGTTAAATAATACGCAGGGCAGAAGATGTACTTGTGTGCTAGCGGACTAGCTAGTTAATATTGGATTAGCCGTTGTATAAAAACTGGTTAGTTATTCTCAACTAACACATTATTTAACTTTAAATTGACTCAAACTGTTGTTTTCCATTTGAAGTAAACTAAATCTATAATTAGGCATAATTTGAGAATCAGACACATTCAACTGTTACTGTATAAACTGCTAATGCTAACATTAGCATGAGCTTAAATGTTGTTTATTTTGGGACATTGTCTTATTCCAGTAGAATCAATGTGCTGATTTTCAACACTTAAGTTTTACTTTGAGAATGAAGAACACTCATTAACAAAGTTAATCTCTTACTTTACTGATTGCAAATACTAACAGCTAATGCTAACTATAACGTTAGTCTTACTGTTTGATAATTTAGTTTCTAAAAAAAACATTAAAGTTAATGTTTGAATTTATAAAACTGAAATATATATATAAAAAAATTATTTAAGTGCTTAAGTTCCTTTTTGATAGAAGATCATTTTTGTTTTTAGAACTAAAAAAACCTGCCCAAGTACATAAACAGCTCACATTGTTGTTTATTTACTGTGGTATGTGAGGTTTTGTATGTTCTCCGGAGGGTAAAGACAGGAAAAATCTAAAAACAAGCAACAATTAACAGTCAGACAGTGACAGGAGTAGTTTACAAGGTAGAAAAGGACACAAACACATCAAAGGACACAGTAGAAAGAAGTAGAAAAGCAAGAAAAACAAACATAGCAGGGCTCTCAACTAAGGTTTCCACATATCCTGATAATAAGATGCTGGACAAAGCCTTGAGATTCGGCCATATTCTGGTTTTAAAAACGGGTTTGAATCATTCCCACCATTTTCTGGAGCGTTTAAATGTCTTCCAAGAGGGACAGAACGCTCAAACAGCAAAGTCCCCGTAGCCTGTGGGGCAGAAAGCGGCACTGCGGAGGGTATCAAGGCAGTTTACGAGGACCAGCGCCCCCGTCAGGTGTTTCCACCTCTTAGTGATGGGGTTCCTCATTTTGTCCAGACCGTGGTGAAGTTCCTGGATCACATCCCGGTAGCTGTCCCCAACGTGGGCCGCCCACGTCAACAGGAAATCATACGCCGGTTTCCACATGGACTGAAGGGTCAGATAAAGAAACGGGGTGATTATACGGGCAAAAGACCAGAGATTGGGATTTTAACACAAACTAGAACTTTTTTATTGGACTCTCAGTTGGCTGGCACCACATGTGGATCACAGGATGAAGAAAAAGTTTATAAGTACTCCTAAACTGCAATCTTTGGGGTAATAATTATGTTTTTGGTGGAGAAAAAAATGTGAGATCAAATGAAATGTTTTTGATTTCCAGCAAAAATTCAAGTTTCATATGCAGGTTTTATGGCATCTGATTTTAGTCAAGAACATAACTTCACCAAATTAACATTTCAAAATTATTTGTAGTGCTGGGACTCAATAAAATTTTAATTTAGTTAATTGCAGCGTCTGTAATTAATCAATCACATTTTATTGACAAAATAAGCAACATTTTTAATTCAAAACTGACTAAGGACGCTAACATTAGCATTATCTGCTACACGTGTAGCATTGAGATGCTACTTTAGACCAGAAAAGCTTTGCTGATAGGTTAATTCCTTTTGAACACAACGATAGTCCAATCGGATTGTTTTTAAAAGCGGAAATTAAATCTCAGTGGGTCGAGAGAAGCAATTTGATTGTTAGCGGATGTATCTGGTGCGTCAGATTTGAAGGGCGTACCAGAAACAAACAAATACAAAAGTTCTGGATCGTTAAAAATACAGTTAATTGGGCTAAAATGCATTAACATCTGTACAACTAATTAAAATTAACATCTGTACAATTAATCAAAATGAATGCATACACACATTCCTTTCTCTTGTATTAGTAGACGGTTATTAGAAAGTACAGCTAGCTGCGGGGTTAGCTTAGCTACTCTGTCTTTTTTTTCTGTTTTGTACTTAACTGACGTGACCTCACCTCGTTGTCCAGGATGCCGTTCTTGTCACGGTGCGGAGCTTCGTAAGCCTCCATCTGCTGCCTGGAAACTCGGGCCAGCTTCTCGGCCAGCTCCCTCCACCTGGACGCCACCTCCACCGCCGTGGTCAGCAAGACGAAGTCCAGAACCAGCTTAGCCACCAGACCCTGGCAGTCCATCTTCAGCAAAGCCTGATCAATGAAAGACGGACAATCTCAGCATTCATTCACAACTTGAAAACATATCCTCTACAACATGTAGAAAATGATCCAGACGCTCCTGTTTGTCCGTTTCTGATGATTGACGGAAAAGCAAAAGCAACTCTTGGGATTGGATTCGGATTTCCTGGGAAAAGCATATCCGGATTATCTCGCAAAGTGTACATTTACCCCAACCTGGGTTTAGATAGGCTGTGAAACATGACCACATGAACGGTTAGGGGGCCTCTTGTTGTCATGAAGAGAAATTTAAGACTTGACATGCAACAGATCCCTGGAAAACCAATCAGAGGAGTCAAGCAAAATGAAACAAACACCAGCAGGAGGATAATCCTCAGAAAAAACAGCTGTCTTCATAAAAATGCCATAGAAAGTTGTTCAGATTGAGTATTTTGACTGAAGTTTTTATTTTCCTTTGATTTCCCTTAGATCTTTAAAACTAAACAGAAGAATCCGTCATGTTTGCAGTTTTTCCTTTCGTTGACTTCCTTTTAAAACGCACACTAGCACTACAATCTGGGTTTATTAAATGGATGAATGGATGGATGGTTAGGTGAATGAACAAATGAATGAATGGATGGATAGATGGATGATTAGTTGAATGAATGAATGGATCACTAGTTTGGTAGTTGGAAAGTCTATAATTTTTCCTCTTTTCTCATCCAGACTTTAGAAACTCTTGTGGTTTCAGACGGTGAAGGAATTCTTCTTCTTCTTCTCCTCTGTAAAATAATTTCCCGTGATCATCGGTTCCCCAGATTGTGTCCAGGTCAGGCGGTAATCCCCGTCTGATGACGGCGCTCTGCATCTCTTTAGGCCACCTGCGGTTCTTCTGGTCTAAATATAAACTCTTTGAACACCAACCTGATCAAAAACATGCCGGCTGCTAATGAACATGAGGCGTTCAGATGGAAATCTGCAGCTGGTTCCTGCTAGCAAAGCATTCAGGAGGAATTCACATCAAACATGGCATCTATTTTCTTCTATTTCTCACATTGTGCCAATTTTAATGAATCAATTGTCCTCTTTAAACTGCTTTTATGCTAATGGAGGCCAAAGAAACCCATAGTATGACTCTTCCACCACCGTGCAAAACAACTCCAAAGATTTTTGCAGCTTTAAATATCAGATTCCAGAGTGGAGCCTTTTTGTCCTTAATTAAGCAGATTTTTGTGACCAATATGCAGTCAATTTCTTATTTTTTCTCCTATTTTCTTTTACCTAAGATCAGAAATTAGCCAGTTTCTTTGCACATGAAACATATTTGGAGTTGGTTATAGCAGTAGCTGCTTTCTCCTGTGCTTTTATAGATTTAGTGGTGGACACATTTTTATTTTAGAGATAAAGGTATGTTTTTAATTCCAAATTATATTTCAAACATCTCAGGTTGATATAGCTGAGTTTGAAAGATCTTTATAAAACTTGGAGAACAAACTAACTATGATTAGCAGTGGGGCTTTTCTATGATTCATTCAGAGACATTTTTTGATAACACATGACTTTCTGAGTTCCCTCTTTCATAAAAACACAAAGAATGTTGATAAATTTCACGAATATAAGAAGTTAAGGATGAATAATAGGTGGTGGAGGTTTGGAGCTGGGTTTGAAAACCTGTGAAGCGGGTTCAGAGGCAGCAGCGCCGCAGAACATCCCTTCATCTGTTTCCAGCCTGGTTTGGTCTCCTGCTTATTAAACAACAACATGGTTAGGGTCTAAAAATAGACAACACTCCGCTGCACCAGGGAATACAGCATCAGTACGAGAAAACGCAGGAAGTCCCTGCAGCAGACGGACAGACGGCGCTGACAGCTGTCAGGAAAATAAGCCTCCTCAACGCAATTATGGACGACGCTGACAGGTAGAGACGAGGAAGAGGAAGAGGAAGACCTGGCAAATTAATATGCAGAAAAATATATTTAGTTTTCTCTCAGAGCATCTACACATGAAAGCCTTGAAATTAACTGGCTGTTGATATTTGGTGATTTATTTATTTACTTATTGTGATGAATTTCTTTTTAGCATTATAAGAATTTTGATTTATCGTTGCCAACCCCATCTATTTAGATATTAAGACCTGGCAGGACAGAAATTAAAAGCTTAATGCTGTTGTTTTGTTGGGTTTTCATCATTTACGTAACTGTTTATAATATAAAATTGAAAAATAAAATAATCTAATTTCTTTAAAATTACTTAAAAAGCTCAGCAGATTTCAAGTTCCATCATTGGTGCTATAAATATGAATTAACTGATGTATTTTCCTTTATTTTTTGAAATTAATTAATTTATTTGAAGGTTAAGCTTAAAGCATTTACCTTGAAATGTTTTATAAATCTATTCTAAGAATAAAAAGCTACTGTTTTTGTTCAGGCTGGATTATTGATTTATTATTTACTTTGTTATATAGTTTTTCAATAGAAATATTAGATACAAATAAAGTTAAAATTTAATAACATAAAAAATTAGATTTTAAATGTAATTTTAAAAATACAAAAATTATTGTAAACAAAAATAAATTTAATTAAACTGTTTGACAAAGTTAAAAATAAGCATATCTAATTTGATAAAATTATAAAAACTGTAACAATAAGGATATTATAATCAGAAAAGCTTTTAATTTCAAAACCATTTTTTCAAGATTTTTGACGTTTTATTTGACTTTGTGGAGCAGGAACTAACATAAGGACTAAACATTTCATTCTGATGTTTGTTTTAAAGTCATATCTGGATCAGAACCGGTTCTGGTTTGAGATGAAGACAAGCTGAGATGATGAAGGACTGGTCTCTCTCTGCCTCTCAGCGATGATCTATTATTAACAGCCCTCTCTTCGGCTCACAAACACTAGCTTTCTTATTCTGCCCTTTTGTAACCCGACACGTTGTGATGAAAGGATCTGCCGGGCGGTGTCGGATGCCCCGCCGGGCCTCCAGGTCCGTCCTGATCAATGCCTGCTCAGATTTCACACAGGAGCACCTGTCTGCTTCGGGAAACATCTGCTTTGAGCTGCGGCTTCCAACAGAGCAAATGTAGAGAAAAACCTAAAGAGACTCTGGGTAGATAAACAGAATT